AGCAGGGTTCTATCCTGAATGAGGGTTGGCGTCCTCTGCCTTACTTGAGCTAATTCTTCCTTCTCCCTCTGACTATATCTACTCCTTCCATCTTTAGTGTAAGACGGGTGAAAGCAGGGTTCTATCCTGAATGAGGATTGGCGACCTCTACCTGACTCGAGCTAATTCTATCATGTCTCTTCTCTTACTCCTCAAACTTCACTTCTATTAGCATGTGTTTATAAGTAAATACTGGTGGCGGTTAAAATTTAAGGAAACTAACATTTTTCAAAGCGGATTACCTCTGCGTTGGTAGCAAGAATAATACGTCGAAAATAAGTTGAAAACATGTGACATGTGGGATGCCGAAGAAAGACGAGTGAAATGGTGTTTGTGTGCGTTTGCGTGTGTTTGCGTGTGCTTGTTTGACGAGTAGTACGGTACACTTAAGGATAATTGAATGTGAAATAAAGATGTGAAGAAATGAAGTACTGATCGTATGCAAGGAAACATTTACAAGGACGACATAGCTATTAATTTACGATTAAGGATGTGACGTGTCCCCGTGTGCGCTTAGATGGGTTAACTATAATATTCAGGTGCATATGAGCATAATGGGCCAATCCCCGCATTTAAGGTTGGAATTTCCGTTATGCCATCGGTCCCCTCGTGTAAATAAGGTCGATGTGTGCCACAAATAAGAGTAAAATTTAGTCCCTTAGTTCGCAAGTACAGAAAGGCTAGATGATGACCTCAATGCCCAAGAGATGCAGGTCAATGAATTCTTCACTGAGAAAATGGTTAAGGATGTGCCAACTGGCGAGACACCGGTGCGCAAGGATTACCCATACTCTAAGTTCTTGTCGTCCACCTCTCCACATGAGAGACTAATTGAGAGATACAGAAGTGGTACTGTAACCACAATGTCCAAGATCCCCCTGCCCAACTTTGAGGATACAGAGGACGAAATGGGTTCCTCATCAGCTGACAACTCCCAGTTATCTCCATCTGATTGCTCACAACTGGAAGATGAGGTGATGGAGGTCAGGGCACGCTCTGGTTCCACTTCTGATGTCCGTTCACGATCAGGGTCTACCAGCTCCAGCAAGGGTGACAAAGGAGTATTTGTAGCTCCAGCACCACCTCTTCAGCGACAGGACAGCAGAGATGATTCTGGCATTCCACTCTCAAGGTCGTCTTCATCTTCTTCCATTCCTGAAACAAAGGACAAGGAGAACACACTTGTGCGACGGGGGAGCTCAAAGAAGAGAGAGTTGAGGCAACCTGGAACCTACCCTAGTTTAGAAAAGAGTGGTAGCAGTGACAGCATTTCCAGAAGCCGAAGAATATTGGGCACTCAGAACTGAAACTCAAAACAGCACACCAGAAAAATGTCTCCATAATATATCTTCCAAAAGAAGTACAGAATGTTCATACATAAGCCAAAGATTCTTGAAAATATTTAATGATAATAATAATCAACTTTTAGGTTGCTTTGACTAATCATATGATCATCGTCATAAAGAGTTTGAAATATTTGAGTGATTAACTTCAAATTGTACAAAGTAGATTTCCCAATGCACGTGATCATTGATTAATACATGTATGAATGTTGCCCATCTCATTAGATTAATGTCTTCTATATTAACATAACACTGCTAGAATCCAAGTATTAATTTCTTTACAATAGCATTATTATTTTCTACTTTTGTACATGGAACACAGAGATATTTTACTTTAGTGTGTAGTGAATCTGTGAGCCATTTTTTTAATATGCCTGTAGATTATATAGTAGCAGAGATAAAATGTTAAAAGAAACAATGGTTACCTCAAATAGAACAATTACCGAGCGTAAACAATGCTGAATGAGGGAGTGGTGACCCGAGGCAGCGTAGGCATGTCGCCGTGAAGGTAGTAAGACAAGGAAAAGGTCTTGCTGCCCTGACTGCCGAACCGAGAAGACGATCTGACCTGCTCTCGGGTATAATTGTAAAGGACGATACCACATTCCCTACATTCATATTCCTCGGTAAGATAATGCCATTCGTGTTGTAGGCACTTATCTTCTGTGTGTTTTACGTTATGGTGAAATGTCACCAATGATAAATCTCAACATAAACATATAAAGATTACAAACAAATATAGACATTCATCCTTTCGCGCGCACATTCATGCTAATTTTGGTCATTGGGTAGTTTGCCCAGTCAACATTCACACCTCATTCATACTCTACTGAACTTTTAACATCTTATTTTCTATTTCCTTTCTTTCGCATTTCCTCCCTTTACATTTATATATATATATATATATATATATATATATATATATATATATATATATATATTATATATATATATATATATATATGTATATGTATATATATAATGAACACACACACATGCTTATATAGAGATAGATAGACAAAAAACAAGGTAATAACAGTAGAAATAGTAGAAGTGCTATCAGTAAAGTAGTAGAAGTAATTATGGTAATATGATAATTATAAGAGATGCTGATAATGAGGATGATGGCAATAATGATAATAATAATAACAACAATAATGATGATAATAACAATAACAATGATTATAATAACAATAAGGCTTATAATGATAATGTTGATAATAATTACGATAAAACTACCCAAATCACACTACAACATACATAATATATATAATATATATATATATATATATATATATTATATATATATATATGTAAAACACTCATTCATTCCTTGTCTCTGTCGCTGGTCCCGTCCGTGTCTCTTATCTCCGCCTGGTGTCTCGAGAAGAGGCTCATATCTCTGCCTTATGCCTTTCGGTGGGCAGTCAGAGTTGAAGAAGAAATTGCGTCATAAAGGTATTATTATTATTATTATTTGTTTTTTTTTATTTTATTTATTATTATTTTTTTTTTATTTTTTATTTTTTTTTTTTTTTGTTTCTTTAATATCTAGTTTTTTAGTTTTTAGTTGTTGTTTTTTCGTGCATTTGATGTTGTACGTTGGTGATTTACTTTTGTTTTGTTGTAGTTACTATTATTGTTGTTATTACCATTATCTTTATTATTTTTGGGTACTGTAATTAATCTTACCATTTATCATTATTTTTCGTGTTCATTTTTTTTTTACTTCGCTCTACTCATTCTTTTTCTTCTTCCTTCTTTTTCTTTTCTTTGTTTTTTATTGCTTTTGGTGTCGTGACTTGACACTTTGTATCACTTTTGTTTTTTTTTCTCCTCTTCTTCCACTTCTTTTTTTCTTCTTTATTAATTAGATATTAACATTGTCATCATTAATATGACGTTCATAATTATCAGTTATTACCATTAACATTATCACTACCCTTATCATCATCATTATTATCCTTATTTATATCCACTTCTTCATCATCATCATTATTATTTCATATCAAAATGTAGACAGAAGATCGACCTGCGTTCACCCCCCCCTTTCCCCAACCTCCATACACCCCCCCCTTAAAAAATATAATTAAGATTGATAACCCCCTTTGCCCTCCCCCCCCTTCCCCATCCTATATACCCCATCCCCCCCGCCCGCCCCCTCTCAAGTAAGGAATGCAGGGGACCTCGCATTTAATTTTAAACTTCAAACCTGTAATTATATGAACTACGGTCGGTTATTGGAGGGTGGGGGGTGGGGGTTGGTGGGTGGGGTGGGTGGGTGGTGTGGGAGGGGAGGGGGAGGTGCCTGGAGGTATGAGCTTGTTATATACCCGCTGGAGGGAGGAGAGGGGGGGGGAGGGGGAGAGGGGGTGGTGGTGGTAAGAGGGTAGGAGGGGAGAGGGGGAGGGGGCGGGTTGATGACGATGGTTATGGTGATGATGGTAAGCATGGTGCATTTTTTTTTTTTTTTTTTTTTTTTTTTTTTTTATTAAGGGTAAATCTTGCTAGCTAGAATGTGATAGCAATGGTTCTTAGGGTGAAAGTGGTGATACGAACAATAGCAATGATGATGATTTATGTATGTAAATCCGTATGTGTGAATATGAGTTTATCTTTATGATGTGTACATGAATTCATATACATAAACGTACACACATATACTATATACAAAATACAGTGCATGCAGTTATACATCGAATGTGTACACACACACATATACACACATGCACATACACATGTACTTTCTCACACACACATACACACACTCACACAAACTCATACTCACATTTATATTTATATATATGTGCGTGAATATGTGTGTGTGCGTGCGCGCGCGTCTGTGTGTGTGTGTGTGTGCGTATGTATGCATGTGTTCACGTTTGCATGTGTCTATATGTGTATATATTGTTTTTGTGGTGTGCGTTTAGGTATATATCTTCGCCTACACATCATAAACATACAGCAACATCTCCACATGCGGTTTTCCACAAACATGACCCTAAAATCTTCACAAAGAGAAAAGAACCACCCCAGCGAGCGAGCTGAGAGGAGCCGAGAGGAGCCGAGAGGAGCCGAGAGGAGCCGAGAGGAGGCCGAGAGCGAGGACGAGAGGAGCCGAGAGGAGCCGAGAACCACCCAGCGAGCGAGCCGAGAGGAGCCGAGAGCGAGCCGAGAGGAGCCGAGACCGAGCCGAGACCGACGAGAGGGCCGAGAGCCGAGCCGAGAGGAGCCGAGAGCGAGCCGAGAGCGACCCGAGAGGAGCCGAGACCGAGCCGAGAGCGAGCCCGAGAAGCCGAGACACGAGAGGAGCTGAGAGCGAGCCGAGACCGAGACCGAGAGGAGCCGAGAGCGAGCCGAGAGGAGCCGAGAGAGAGAGAGACCGAGACCGAGCCGAGGAACCGAGCGAGAGGAGCCGAGACCGAGCCGAGAGGAGGAGAAGCGAGCCGAAGAGCGAGCCGAGAGGACACCGAGAGGAGCTGAGAGCGAGCCGAGAGGAGGCTACAGGAGCCGAGAGGAGCCGAGAGGAGCCGAGAGCGAGGCGAGAGGAGCCGAGAGGAGCCGAACCACCCCAGCGAGCGAGCCGAGAGGAGCGAGAGCGAGCCGAGAGGAGCCCGA